GGGTGAAGGCATAGGTTCTGTGGTATGTAGGTCAAACGAAGTGGACTAGTGGACGATTATTCGTCCGCAGCATGACACAGTTCTGAGCTTGTTATACTGCGTTGCCCCTCATGGTATCCGCGCGATCCTCGGCGTGTCCAGCACCTGCTCTGCTCGGGTCTCCTGCGCTACCTCTCTGTCGCTGGTCGACATGCGGTCGGAGATGCGGCAAGTAATCGCACAACCGTATCGTTTTGGGAAATAGGCGGTATCCATCTTTTCCCCTCTACCCACCACCACTCTTCCCGTCACGGTCTATAATCGACGCGCACAACGCTTGCATTGTTAACATTCCGTCATCTTTACATTATTGATTCTCGCCCTCTCGGCGTGTACAGAGGATTTCTTTCACACTCTTATCTCGGTCCACGTTATACAACCCAGACGCATTATTTCTACATCATACGTTTGTGTACTCTATTATCTTTCCTTGTCTCGAACGGTCTTATTTTTTTTTGGTGTATTCCTGCTACCTACTGTATGCGTGTATACGTATAGTACCACCGTTCTATGGCATACAAATGTATCACTACTCGTTGATCATAGAGCTTACTATTAGTAACGCGACGGCAGAGACTGAACATTATACATGCTACCGATATTTTTTATGATAGTTTGTTCGGCGGGGCACGTCTCTTCGCTGCGCCACAAAGTCCGGCATTACTATATGTGGCGACGCGGCCGCCGGTGTTCGACAGAATCACGAAGTTTGACTGAGGTACGTTGAAGATATGTGGTCACAGAGGCTGGTTTACGAGCCTACACGTCGTCTACTTATAAAGTTGGTGATGAAACCATTAGCCTTAAATCTACTAAGAGTTAACTCTTGTGCTGTCGGCACCATACTACTCATTTCATACAGCCTCATTAAATAGACTTGAACTTAAACTCGGAGTCGCCGATGCGTGACCCGGGCGTTATTCAGAGCACAACTAGTAGTAGTAAGCCAATATCGTGTAATTTCCGATGATCCAACTTATATTAAGTACAAGAAGTAATACGCATCTACTCTATGATCCCAAATAATTGGCCCGTATACTAATACAATAACTCCTTAGTCTACTACCAGTTCTCCGCGAACCTACTAGTAGCCTGAACCTGAGAAACGTGGAGTCATCTCTAAATCTCCCCTTCAAGCAGCTCGACTAGCTTGTACCGGGGTGTCGTATAATGATAAGCGACGTATCCTGCCAAGAGCCTCTCCCACGCCTCCTTCTCCTTCTCCCCCTTGAGAATGGACCGGGCTCGTTCTATCGATTCTACAAGTTCGTTGACGAGCTCAGTGAGCACGGTACTGATGGACTTGTTCGTTACGAGGGCTCTGTCGTGGACGTAATTATCTTTCTCTCCCGCAAGTTCTTCTTTGTAGAAGGAAAGTACATCGCTGAATAGTATGATCAGATAACGATTGAGGGCAATGAGATGAATCGACGTACTTGGAGTAGTTGAGCCAGATGAAGGTTTCTCTGCAAGTATAAAGCGTCATGATGAGTTTCCCTGGTAGTGGAGGCTATGAATGGCGAAGGTAGTACTCACGGAAGTACCTGTATGTGAGAAAAGATATCTGGGAAAGAAAACTTATCCCAAACGAACGCGCCATACGCCCCTCCCAAGGAGTTACGTAGTCGCTTGTATTCTACGTATGGCAAGGCAGCCTGATGAAGCTGAACCCCAACGCTTTCCTTATCGAAGAGGGTGGCGTCGACGAACTCGATTGTCGCGACGATGATTGACTTGGCGGCATAGGGAGGGTAATAGTCGTGCGTTTTGCCGAGAACATCCACCAAACAGTCCAGTGCGGGGTCAAGCTGAGGCTTTCCGGTGTATAACCTCGCACCAAAGCTGTCTAAAGCGTCGGAGTCGACTTCGAGGTCGTCAACGCACAGAGCAAGAAGCGTGAATAGGGAAATGAAAATTTGGACTTCGACGGGAGTGTGGCTATAGGTGTAGGTTGCTATGTTGACAGAGGTTCTGAAGTGGCGTGCGTAGCGTGCAGGGTCAAGTCCTTTCTTGGTCCATTCTTTGGCACCTTCTCGAGTTTTGCGCTCTACCTCTTCTTGTGCGACAGGTATTGGGCTCTGAAGAGGGATCTTGGTGCGCTGCAGGAGCTCGGCAACTGAAGTGCGCGAGATTTTGACCTTGTATGATGAAACATGAGCCAGAAGTTGAGCAACATTCAGAGCAGGATACATACAATTTCATCGCTGGCTATTGTTTTAGCCTTCAACGCGGCAGTCGATGCTGGCGTGGACTCAGCATGCATTGTTATAGAGTTCCCGTCGAACGTCCTATGCACAGTTAGTACGAAATATTATAGTGGTAGAACGAAACGTCGTCGTACATGGTCGAATCGCTTGTCTGAGGTCGGTTAGATGTAGAGGATACTGGTGGTTTCTGGGAGCTGGGTTTGGGGGACCAACTCCTCTCCACGCACGATCTTATATACATTCCTGCGATAGCCAAATCTCCCTGTGAAGCGCGAGTCCCAAACAGAGTCGTGGGCAAGAATGATATCGGAAAGTAGTAGAGTGCGTGCCCATATGGAGATTAGATTATACGATCGACTTCAAAACCTGACTAGCACGAGCTCCTAGATCCTATCGAGCGTTTAGTCAAGATATGCATGAGAGGAGAGTGCCGTACATACATTGACAAACACCGAGACAGGCGTCACCGGTCAATATAAATTCTCATAAGAGACGGATTTGACAGCTTCAATTCCGCTGGAATAGAAAATGCCGAGCGAATCGATTGTTAGCAAAAGATAATCCAACACAGGTGGAAAGGGTTTCACACACTGCGTGTGGGCCACTTTGCGTTCTCATAGGTTGCCTTGATATCGGGGACTCGAGTTAGCTGAAATGAGTATGAGTCTGAAACATGCTTGAAACACCCGTGTAGAGATTTGTCCATATACATGGCAAGATCCACTAGTCGGAAGAAAGGTACGTCGGATTCTTGTCTACTCCGTACCGAGCTTTGAGGAATTTCCAATGGGGGGGGAGGTTTGGATTGGTAAATCGCGCGACCACTGTATACGAATATGAAGACACAGTTAAATAAAGATGGCAAGGGATCCACTGTTCGTGGTCGTAGAGTTACACAGCTAAGAATGCTATCGAGACTTGCCATTGCTGATTTTCTGCGCACAAAAAGTCACAGTGAAGCTGTCGCTCTCGCAATGTGCATCGGTGACGCCGAGCCTCTTTGGACGACTCTACTAGCGTTGAAGCGCTGATGGATCAAAGCCTGAAAAGGCACCACAGTGCATAATAAACTCAGTAATCGGAATTGTTTCTGTACCGAATATACAGGCTCACGTTTGGCACTATTGGAATAGGATGTCTTTCCCATCGAGTGGATCGGTCAGCCTTGTATCAAAATGTCATATCGTGGAAAGGCCTGTAGTCGTTCAAAAAGTCTTTTAGGTAGTCTTCTTCGCTTTATTGCAGGACAAGCACTTCGACTGCGCCAGCCGACTTTATCGGAGAGAGAGCACGCGGCACCGACGTTGTTACGGAAGATGAATGTGCGATTGTGGATGTAGCTGTCTTTCTCGCCTGCGAGCTGCTCCTTGTAGAACAAGAAGACCGTGACGTCGCTAAAGAAAGTTATAATCACGGTCGTAAAAGTATTCCGGATGATACTTACTCGCAGAGACAGTATCCTAGGCACTGTTAGTATTTTAAACGGACGGGAAACAACTGATCTAGTACCAGACCGATACAAAACCGGTAATACCTCTTGGAACTTCATCAGGTGCTCACCCGTGCCTATCAGAGAGGTATTATGGAACGTAACCGAGCCGCGGAGCAGAAGAGGAAAAGAAGAGGGAAGGCCCACCGTACAAGGCAGTACCGGAAGAGGCCGCGATCATCCATTTTCGTACAGGGCCCTATCAATGTTTGATGGATTAGGGCGAATTGTTATCGGGAAAGGTGAATCCAATAACGTCAAGTAGCAGTCATGTTCGCGACTGAATATGTTGAACGGAATGTAGGAGGAAATGGAAACAGATTGGAAGCTGTCATGTATGTGAGTGGAGAAGCCTCTAAACATAGAGAACATTCAAGTATCAACCAACCGCGATACACAGGTCCTCCATCCGTGCTTGATAGTAGTAAACAGACTTCGCTGACGAGAGCATAAGGTACACAAAGCCGGGTACTAAAGGTCACTTCAGTTCATGAGACTATTGCCGTGAAGGGTCTCCCACATAGAAACGGCGTTTACGCATTGAAAACACGATACTTCTGTAAAGTGCAGTCAGTGAGTCGTGAGTTGTCTGACAATACAATTAGTAAGGACAATACAGCCGATGCTCTGGAAGGGCCGTCCATGGAACCGTACCAGTTGTGCTCGACAGTTTGAGGGTTGTGGTGCTCGGAGAGCTAAATCTGTGCAGCTGTCGTGACACTGCCTCCCGTAAGCCAGTGTTAAACAGTATAAGATCCGTAGACGTACACATTAAGACCACATGTTTTGCTGAGGTCTATGCATTACCATGCAACGGATGGCTGCGTTACATCTTGTACGTTCACAGAGTAAAGATCTCTCTGAACTCGGACTCGCTTCTTCCTGTAAGTATAGCGTACTTTGCGCGAGAGCATGGATTTCTGTTTCAATGAAACTGCTGTAGTGATAATATTTCTTTTCTATGGCAATTAACAGCGATGGTGAGTCGAATATATAATCCTGCATCAGTGTAAGCTGGAAAGAGTTCAACGATTGCATACTGTTACCTAGTGCATGCTTTTACACTTCGCCAGAAGTCCATGGTATATGTGCAATGTATATAATAAACTGTTGGTGTCGGTAAGGCTTTACAAAACCAAGCGAGCTGGACGGTCGACTCAGACCCAGTGGAGGTAGTAAACAAGGACTCGGGCGGTTGGGCCGGGCGAGCTTTTCTTACATCAAAATTTTGATTAGAATATTATTCTTTCTTATCGAAAGATGTAGCCCGTTTAGCTCAGTGGTAGAGCGCGCCACTCGTAATAATGTAATGGTGAGGTCGGTTGTTCAATCCAGCCAATGGGCACTCTTTTTATTATTTTGGCTTGCTCAGAGTCGCGTCATGGCATTGAGTGCCGTCGGACTCGCACTCTTCCCATCACCACTCCCTTTCATCTTCTCTCGTTCTCGTTCTTTACTTTCATGCTTTAGCTAGCAATGTTCCTTTCAGCACGGTGCCCATATAGAGGGCTCAAGGCTCTACCTTTCGGGTCGCGGAGCCTAAGTGTGCAGGCTACGCTCCGAGGCACTACACCTGCGCTCCGGCCACTCGTCCAGTATGCACGAACAGCACAATTACAAGCTTATTACCAGAGGCAGCTCTCGACACACCAGGATAGTGCAAATAGTCCTAACTCGACACCCGCGAAGCCACCACCGACTCCGAAGCGGTCGATACTTTCCCGCTTTCTACCGTCCACGGGTGGCGACGCGACGAAGAGCGCATCCTCATTTCGCTCAATAGTGGCACTAGCTAAGCCAGAGAAGAGGCCCCTTGGGATAGCTATTGGACTTCTGCTCATCTCCTCGTCCGTGTCCATGACAATACCTCTCACTGTCGGCAAGCTGATAGACTATTTCACTTCCCCTACACCGGTAAGTGAACGACCGAGCTGAGGCTATGATATGTACATGATACTTTTGTTATTGCTTAGCAAATACCTCTAGAATTGTCGATTGGACAAGCCTCTGCTATCCTCCTGGCCATGTTCACCGTGGGAGCCTGTGCGAATGCAGGCAGAGCAATGCTCATGCGCACTTCAGGTTTGCTATTTACAAATAGGTTGATCCTTTCTAGAATACTCATGATTGTTTCAGGTCAGAGAATTGTTGCCCGTTTGCGAGAAAAGACGTATGCTGCAGCGATTCGCCAAGAGGTCGAGTTCGTGGAACGCGGAGAGGGCGACGTGATCAGTAGGCTGAGCGTCGATTCCAGCATTGTTGGCGAAAGGTACGCAACCAATTTACAATCCCTCTGTCAGTCTGGTAGCTGATTCTGCTATTCATTTGTTCAGTGTCACTCAAAACCTTTCTGACGGTTTACGGTCTATCATTATGGCTTCTGTGGGACGTACGTCGCAAGAATAAGATTACCTTAAACCCAATACTCACACGAAATATCATAGTCGGCGCTATGTTCTATATATCACCCCAGCTCACAGTACTCATGCTAGCTGTTGTCCCTCCGGTGTCATTAGGTGCCGTACGTACATTGTAGCGACTTTGCGAGATTTTATGATTGACTTTCGGCGTTCTAGGTCTTCTATGGGCGATACTTAAAACGTCTATCCAACAAGACCCAGGAAGCTCTAGGTGACATGACTAAGGTTAGTATTATACAGTAACACGCATCTAGGTGCCCATAAATTCATGCACGCACTCAGGTCGCACAAGAATCTCTATCTGCTCTTCGTACTGTGCAAGCGTACAATGCGCTCCCTTACGAACAGTCGAAGTTTAACGAGAGGGCACAGCACGTATTTGAACTGGCAAAGAAAGAGGCCATTGCGAGTGGTATATTCTTTGGGAGTACTGGATGGAGTGGAAACGTAACATTACTTGCTCTACTCGGATACGGTCAGCGGATTTCATTTGTGCACACTAAATATAAATCATCTTTAACCAGTCTCATGTATTTACAGGTGGCACTTTGGTTAGTTCAGGGGCGATTTCAGTTGGAGATCTCACAAGCCTTCTGCTATATACGGTCTATGTCGGAGGAGGTTTGCAGACTCTAACGTACGTCATCTTTTCGACACACCTTCATCACCTGTAATACTGACGCGCTTCCCACTCCAGTGGTTTCTTTGTATGCTCTCAATACTGCACAGCTGCTCAGAACATTCGTCTAACTTGTCCCTCGTAGTCATCCATTATGCGCGGGATCGGTGCAGGTGTCCGCATCTTCGACTTACTTGAGCGACAGCCAGTGATCGACCCTTCTGCCGGAGTTCCTGTAGATTCCTCTAGGCGCGGACCGATACGTTTTGAATCTGTAACGTTCCAATACCCTAGCAGGAGGGAAGTGACAGTTCTTAAGGATCTAGACCTCGAGATCAAACCCGGAGAGAGTGTGGCACTTGTGTACGTCTTGAGTAATCGAAGTTCTCAATACCTGGTGCTCATCATTATTCATATATTCAGCGGAGGCAGTGGCAGTGGAAAGTCATCTGTCAACTCGCTCTTGTTAAGATACTATGATCCTGTTAAGGGCAAGGTCACGTACGACGGACAAGGTACTATACTCACTGACGGTGAATAGTGACGTGTGCTGATGTTCGTCTCTTCACTAGATATTCGGGAATTTAATCCTGCCTCATGGAGAAGTATCATAGGCGTTGTTCCTCAGGTATGTCCATTAAGACACCAAGGGATAAAGTGCGATCTCTTATTGCAATCCATAGGACCCGGTCTTGTTCACCGGCACGATTGCATCTAATATTGCATACGGTAACGATACAGCCACCCGAGAGGAAATCGAATATGCCGCTCGTCAAGCAAATTGCGAGTTTATTTGGGGCATGCCAAAAGGCTTTGATACTGAAAGTGTGTAGTGCGTTTTGATCATGATTCTGGACACCGCTAATGGTTGTATCGCTAGTTGGTCGTCTTAGCCTCAGCGGGGGACAGCGCCAGCGGTTGGCGATTGCTCGAGCTTTGTTGAAGCGCCCTGCCATCCTTGCTTTGGATGAAGCTACTAGCGCATTGGACGCCACTTCCGAACATAGGGTGCGTTATCTAGTCTCGGATACGTACTCTTTGGTACTTGTATTGACCAAGCGTACTTACCAGGTTAACGATGCGATCGAGAAAATATTACAGTCCAGGCAAACGACGTGTCTTATTGTTGCTCACCGATTGTCCACCATCGCACGAGCTGAAAGAATTATCGTCCTGGAAGGTTCGTCTTAATCTTTGTTACCTTGGTATAAGTGAGGTTAATACCTATAATACAGATGGCCACATTACGGAATCGGGTACATACAGGCAATTGGTAAGTCTTGCCCGCTCCTGTGACCTTTACCCTGCTTACCACGAGCGCATGTCATAGCTTCGACAACAGGATTCAAGGTTCCGCTCATTAATGGCGGCACAGCTTAATGCTGCTGACACTGACGGCCCTGTTTTCATTGAGAAAGATACGCCATCCTTGGAGGATACAACAGAACAGCCTTCAGAATCTCAGACGCAAAAGTCTTCAGACGCAGTGTTGTGAGGATGGTAACGATAAATGGCGTTCACTCTCCCGTGTTATATGTTACTGTATCGATACGTGTAATTGTGCTGTTTGGTAGATCGTTTAGAGGATCTCATTTATATGGAGACGGACTTAACGTAAGGGAGCATTAAGCTTGTCTCTAGGACTCGGTGCTGCGAAACAGCATATGAACACGTTGTCCGCGCGTGTAGTATGATAATCGCAACGTGACGATAGTTCGGCTCGCAGGTATCGGTATATAAACCGAGTCGGTGTTTTCTTCAACATTCATTTATCCACCACTGCGCTTTCGAAATCTCCTCTCAGAGTCATCGCTAACTTCGTATCTACAGCCCTATACCCGCCTTCAATAGCAGCAAGATGATGTCACGAGCTCAAAGTCTGCAGGCCTCCGAATCTGTGCTCTCGCCAATCACACCGTCGAGATATGGCGCAGCTCCGGCGAGCGTGTTCAGCTCGCTTTCGTCAAACCCGGAGCTGAATACTGTTAACGAGACGATAGCTTTGATGAAAGCGTCTCTCGGAAGCCTTGGGGTCGGTATTATTCTCTGTCAATAAATGCTCAGACCATGTTAAGTAAATCTTAGCTAACAAGTTTGGACTCTCTAGCAAGTGTTCGATACAATCGGTCAACAGACGACGCAAATGATTCAGATTGGCGGAGAGTTGGAAACAGCACAGCACCTCAATAAGTAAGCTCATGTGAGAGACGGCTGGACCACTAACAATAACTTGCGTCATTTAGAGTACGCAAGGAGATGGAAGAATCAGACAGGAAGCAGGAAGCCCAGATAGAAGAAATTAAAGGTAAAGCGGTACCAGCATTTTTACAGTATATTCTGATGACCTTGAATCCTACTAGTTTTGCTTGAGAATGCGCTGCAGCACGAGATCATCGACCACCTACGGCAATTAAGTGAGTAGTGGTATACTGTAGGTATTGTATACTCATTCTCACGCGCGACTACGTTAGTTGAGGCTGGAGTGATGGAACAAATTGATGAGATTGTTAAAGAGCAGGTCGCAGCGGAGCTCCCTCGCCTAATTCCACAGTCTCTCCAAGACGAGGTCGCACATCATCGAAAGCAGCTAGAAGATGTGCAAAGAGCTTTACACAACTCGTCAGTGACTGTACAATTCGTATGACTGGGATCAATTGACCCACAGTCATTCGACCCATAGGGAGAGTCGGCGTGCAAACGCATCGCTTCGAACAACGAAGCTGACGGAGCCCCTGCATACAATATATAAGTCGGACGGCACCATTAGCGACCTGTTTCCTAAAACACTGCAGGCCTTGTTTGCAATGAACCGTAAGGGTTTTCTATTTCACGGATGCAAGCTGATAGAAACTGAACGACTCCTGCCAGCGGAAAGTGCTCAGCAGCTCCTCGAAGAATATGGGATGACAGACGTCTCAGAGTCTCGAGAACGAAACTTGAACCGGTTCATGCAGTTCTGCGGGGTTTCATATCAGCTAGTACGTTGATCAAATATCTCACATACCGGGACAACTTCCAATATTGCAATTCGTATCTTCAGAAGGTCCTCAATGCAAGTCCAACGGTGCCTATGTCAGGCAAAGTCGCGACGAAGAATCTCCCGGGAACTGGGAGACCCACGAATCCATTTTGGTGAACCTAACACTATGGTGATAATGCTCAGTTAGTATGGTAACGTAGGAATGACCTAGGTACCAGTCGCGAGTAGACATCGAAGGTACAGATGGAATGAGGGTTTTCTACACCATGTTTTTCCTTGCGGCTTGACAATATTGGCAATAAATGTATCATGCATTCTGAGCGGGGGTTGGATCTGGAATGAGATAGGAGCGGACGGTATCATGGGTGGTTAGCCATAGAATAGTGATGGTTAGTACTCAGGTAGTGACTAGTATTAGTGAGTTTGACCAAGTGTGCCTGGCTACCTGTCTTTCAAGCGTGGTCATTTAATCTATAATAAGAATTAAGTTGACAAGCCCGTTTAGCTCAGTGGTAGAGCGCGCCACTTGTACGATTCTAGTTGGCAATGGTGAGGTCGGTTGTTCAATCCAGCCAATGGGCATTAATTTTTTTCGGGTTGCTTTTTGCCTCGTGCGATATTAATGAATGGGTTCGGACCAGACGGGTTTTGTATAATATGTATTGTGCGTCGTTGTAAGATAGTGCAGAGGAGATCCCCAAAATAGGGAAAATATTATTGTGTAAAGTAGTACGACGATGACCAATCGAACTGTTCGTTGAATGAGAATGTTTATCTTACAATTTTCGTGAAAATCCATCCCCAAGATTCATGAATGTCGCGTGAGAGGGATGGTGACTGGTTGACCTCGTACGTCCACCATCGTCCCATTCCTACTCGACAGCATCCGCAATTCAGTGCTAGCATATGGTCGTCCATCGTCGTATGGAGGCAAGAACGAATATCCGGGAGATTGCACGGCCGGTCGGAACCTCCTGAGTCGCAGTAATCACACTCGACATAAAATCTCTGCTCTCCTCGACTTTTTCGTCATGTAAGAACCTCGGTACCACCGTTATCCTCTCTTTCGACGGCACCAAGCACGATGGCAGCCATCCCGACGCTCCTGGCATCCCTGAAGATGAAGCCGACGCCTCGGATTCGCCCTATACAACGCTGGATGAGCGTACGGCCTGAGCAGAGTGGCCTGCCTACCCGTGCGTACTGTTTTTTTCTTTAGCATATACCCTACTCATGTTTGGCAACTGCTGTAGAACGTAAGAAAGTTACTATTCAACATCTTCACCAACTCCGAAAGTCTGGGACACCGATTACGATGCTCACCGCCTACGACTTTCCGACTGGGAGGGCATGCGAGACGCACAACATCGATATGACTCTCGTTGGAGACTCCCTCGCTCAAGTATGTCTAGGATACGACTCTACCACCCGCCTCACACTCGAAGAGATGCTTCACCATTGCCGGGCTGTCGCCCGTGGTAGCAGATCTCCGTTTCTCCTCGCCGACATGCCGTTCGGAACATATCACACGAGCATCGAGGACGCCGTACGGAATGCCACACGGCTAGTGAGCGAGGGTGGGATGGAGGCAGTGAAGATCGAAGGCGGGATGGAGGTTCTTGACGTCGTACGACGGCTCACAAACGTCGGGATACCAGTCATGGCGCATGTTGGTTTGATGCCCCAACGACACACAATGTTTTCCGGGTACAAGGTGCAAGGGAGAGACGCAGCTACTGCCATCTCCATCCTCGAAAGCGCGCTTGCGTTGGAGGAAGCAGGAGCGTTTGCGATCTTGCTCGAGGCCATCCCCCACAAACTCGGCGCTTACATCACGTCACAGCTTCGACGTGCCCCGACCATTGGTATCGGGGCTGGGTCACAAACGAACGGTCAGGTACTGGTGTGGGACGACATGCTCGGGACATGGAGTGGGCACAAGGCGAAGTTCGTCAGACGCTTCGGGGACGTTCGAAACGAGATCGAACGAGGCGTCCGAAGTTACGCAGAAGAGATTCGCGCTCGAACTTTCCCTGCTTTGCAAGAGAGTTATGACATGCCTGGGGAAGAGTGGGACAAGTTTGTCGAACTTACCGAAGCGAGACGAGTTGCCTCGTAACCCCGTATTTTGTAGGCTTTTATTCTTCATTTATTCAGTAAATAAATTTGGCTCCCTCAAAGAACTGCAGGGAACACTAAATGTCTATACCATTTACCACAGAATGAATTTTCTACCCTTGATCACGCTATGAAGATTCATGAGTAGTCTGTATGCTCAATGATAGAAGCCCAAGTCGTTGAGTACACCTTGGGATCATAGCAACGTGTCTCTTCTACTGACTACATCTGGGTTACTTATACTCTACAGGTGCGGATAGAAAAATTTAGTCGAAAGATCATTGGCTTCAAGATTTTTTTTAGATTAGTTCCACCGCCGCCTGACCGCCCAAGATACTGACAGGCCAACCTCACCAGCGACAAGATCGCGGAGTGCCACTGGAATAGTGGTCAATTTTTACGGGATCTGTGTTTCCAGACAGTTCCCTGGAATGTAATTGCAATTATGGTCGCTGTCATTAGCACGGTACCGACTGCCAGCCGAGACTGGGTGAGTCGATACCGTCAATTTTCGACGAATGATACCTTATTGCTGACGACCTGTGGTCTCTTATACAGCCGATTTAGAGCATACAATGCTCGACTAGGACTCTCATCGTATACGTGAACACACTGGCAGCACGGGCTCTAGATCTCAATCTCAATGATCTCCATAAATCAATTGCTAGTAGGTCGACATCAGTGACAGCACAACATTCTACTCTAGCACAAGACAGATTCCTCTGGAAGCAAGTCCTTCAGTTTGTAGCGAGGAGTCATGTAATGGAAAGCCGCATATCCCATCAAGAACTTCTCCCATACGTCTTTCTCTTTCTCTCCAGTCAACACAGGTCTCGCCTTATCAACAGCAATTACCACCTCGTCGATTACTTCTTTAAGGACGTCATTGACATCCTTGTTGGAAACGGCAGCGCGGTTGTGAAGGTAGTTATCTTTCTCTCCTGCGATCTGCTCTTTATAGAACGAGAGGATGTCACTGAGTAAAATCGGTCAGAACTTAAATTATATGGTGATAGTCGTAACGCCAGTGTTCTCACTTTGTAAAGCACAGGTATATCGCAGCCGCTCTGGAAATCTTACAGTTAGCGAGGGCTTACTTGACTCGAAAAGACACAAGGCGAACTTACGGGATGATCTGAACAAAGGCGAAGACATCGGGAAATGAGAACTTGTCCCAAATGAAGAATCCATACGCGGCTCCTAGGCCATTGCGAAACCGCTTGTAGTTGACATACGACAGAGCACCGGGGCGTAAGTCAACTCCCACGGAATACTTATCCTGAAGTGTGGCGTCGATAAACTCTATGGTTGAAAGTGTAATGCACTTGCTGGAATAGGCGGGGAAGAATTCTGTCATGCGACGGAGATTATCGACGAGGCAGTCCAATAAAGGGTCTGACTGAGGAGAATTGCTCAGTAACCGCGAAGAAAATGCGTCAAGGTCATCGTCGCTGACTTCAAACTCGTCGATGGCGATGGTGAGAGTGGTGAAGAGTGTGATGTGAACCTGGACGTCGGGCCGTGTGTGTCCATAGGTGATGGTTGCGATGTCAAGGGATGCCTCAACGTAAGGCTGCCAGCGAATGGGTAAGAGCCCTCGTTCGGTCCATCCTTTTGTTTCCTCGAGAACGCCTGCCATTACATCGGCTTTTGAGGCTGGCTGAAGAGCATGCATAGGAATATTGGCACGCCGCAGAAATTCAGAGATGGTAGCACGGTAGGTGCTAATCTACGGTACGAATCAGTTATAGAACGGAGGTTTGTAGTAAATGGACGCACAAGATCTACGGAAAGAGCAGTGCTAGTAGCATCCAGCACCGTAACGGTTGGATGCTGGGGAGTGAGCTGAACTTGTGACCTAACGAAAACATATGAGCGGACTGCTGGTACAGCAATAATGTTTGACATACATAAGATGTACGGCAAAAGGAGTTCTCCGATATAGTGATGGTAGTGTAGAGGGATCTGGGGACTTGTTTGACAAAACATCGACCACGATGCTCTTTTATACCGTTCACGGTCTCGCGCGTAGAAACCATACTTAAATGTAGCGAGAGCAAGAAGAGTGTTGATATCCCAGAGATACGGTAGACCGCTGAATTTGAGCGACAAACCGCAGACTACGAGAATTTCGCCAAGGAAGTCACCTTGAACAGGCAAATTCATGCATCAAGGCTGAGACACCGTAACTGCAACCCAGTCGTAAGGATATACAGTATACTTCTCGAGGTGACCTATACACGATTAATCGAAGTTAGCTCTGAAGATAGCGCTAGATCTGGAGCTGAACTTCGCTTTCACCAATATACTGGGCGCCTCCGAGAATGCGATGGAAAACATTCGCTCATCGTTTGACCACAGATCACCGGAGTCCTGATTTTCCGACAAAAAGTTGCCTCTATCAAGGGAAGAGGTATCCTTCCTAGCTTTATGAGGACGTCTGGCTTGGAAATTACTGAAACCTTGAGTGGCAGTGCCGCTGGTGAGGTGACTGTGCCTATGTAGTACTAATGGGTATCGTAGCATCCAGCTTCTTGGAAGCCTACCCATTCATCCGTAGAGTACGAAAAACAAGGATCATTCTCTACATGAATGGTATACACCAGCCCAGGTAACGACGCAATATTTAATACAGAACGAAATACCTGATTGGTGAAGGGGTTTTCTGTAACGGCCCGGGAGGATCGATGAATTTCGAATTTGCGCGGGTCTTCGGAGGGTTCGAAACGCGCTATGGTGTTGCCACTCGATTCTCTATCAACATAGAACTCTTTAAAATATCGTAGATAATTTTTCCAGTATATCTACGTGCCCTTCGATGGCCTTGCGCGATTATAAAAGTTGGAACCATATAATAAGGGGGGACAAATATGAATAAACAAAGGGCGCGTTGAACGTTGAACGCTCGCTCGAACTGATAACTCGATATTCAACAAGATACACTATAGACCCACCTTTAGCGCTACCAAAGCAGGAAGTTTTCACCATCAAGTTGCTCTGCCAGTCTGTATCAAGGGGCCATGATGAAATTAATGTCCGCGTATCTTCCAAAGCGTCTCTCACATAAGTGAGTTCCTAAGCTCACAGTGAAGGATGTCCTCAACGGACTTCACAACTTCAATGCTTACTTCGCATATCACGCCATCGACCTTCTAGACGGTTGCAAACGTATGAGTGAGGATGCGGATGACCTTAGTTACTCTACTGTGTTCCTTGTAGAACGACCTGAGAGGATCGCTAAATGCCATTTCTAGTAAACCTGTGCTCGGAACATCTTAAAATAACTAACCAGTGTTATACCAATGAAACAATTGCAAAATCTATGAAAATTTGATCCCCGGAGCATCAGCAAAGTGGGTACCCAGTTCGCGGGAGGAGAGACGCAGACATGGAAGGTTCACCTGGCAGGGCCGCATAATTAAGTATGGTTATCTAGTTTCTTGCAGGGTCCTAAACGAGTGAAT